TTTCCTATTTTCTCTTTTAGTTAATCACTTGTTGAATTATAATATTTAATAACCATAAAGCATAGCCTAATAGTAACTGCTTTAAATGTTCAAACTCTAAGAATGAGCATCTACTATAAGCATACTTATTAAAAACCATTTTTGATACTGTATTTAATTCAAAATACATGTTTGTTTTGCCAGAAATACTTTACTGTGTTTACAGCTGTTCTACGCTACTTCATTAGACTGCCATACAGATGCTGTTTGGGTGAATCTTTAAATGGAATTATTTCTTAATGAAGAGCTAGAACTACTTTCCTACGCAAGGTTGTAAAATTTCTAGAAGTAAATTTCTCCTCACATTTTTGAATTGTAATGACTTATCTCAATAACAACATGCAACACCCTTAGGGTTTCAGTAAAGAATACAGTTGACCCTTGAACAATACAGGTTTGAACTGTGCAGGCCTACTTATGTGCAGATTTCCTTCCAACTCTGTCACCTCTGAGACAGAAAAACCAACCCTTCCTCTTCTTCCTCCTTCTCAGCCTAATCAAGGGAGAACAATGAGGATGAGGAACTTTATGCTGATCCACTTCTGCTTAATGAACAGTAAATCTAGTTTGCTTATGATTTTCTTAATAACACTGTCTTTTCTCTAGCTTACTTTACTGTAAGAATATAGCATATGATACATTTATCATACAAAATATGTGTTAATCGACTGTTTATATTATTGGTAAGGCTTTTGGTCAAGAGTAGACTATTAGTAGCTAAATTTGGGGGGAGTCAAAAGTTACATGTGAATTTTCAACTGTGCAGGGAACAGCACCCCTAACCTCAGTGTCATTCAAGGGTCAACTATAAATGTGTGTGTATGTGTGCGTGTGTGTGTGCACGTGTGTATATGCATGTGCGCCTTACTCAGTGTGGGTTGCTGTAACAAATTACCATGTACTGGGTGGCTTATAAACAACAGAAATCTATTTCTCACATTTCTGGAGGCTGGAAGTCTGAAATCAGGGTGTCAGTAGTCAGGTTCTGGTGAGGGTCCTTTTCCAGGTTGTGGACTGTAGATTTCTCCTTATGTCCACACATGGTAGAAAGAGAGTGGGGCTCTTACTCTTTTACAAGGACACTAGTCCCGTCATGAGTGTTCTACCGCATGACCTAATTCCCTTGCAAGGCCTCCTTTCCTATCACACTGGTGTTAGGGTTTCAACATATGAAATGTGGGGTAGGAGTACAACGTTCAGTCCATTGCAACGTCAACGTGTGTGTGTGTGTGTGTGTGTACATGTTCTTCAAAACTCTCTTTTATTTTCAGTCAAGAAGTATTTCTTTTTATATGCAACTATTAACAGTGGGAATTCATATATCCATGTTCTAGGTGCTCTGGACAAGGCAATTATTCATCTGTTGCTTGCTGACTATTCTTTTCTTACAGCTATATTTCAGCCCTTTAGCTTCTTCCTATAAGCCTCCATTATCATAGTCCTATCTCAGAGAAAGGTGCTCAAGTTTCCTTTCACACCAAACACCTCTGCTTATACTCTGGATCCTGTCCCAGCCCTCCCTGATCCTTGTTCCGTCCTTTACTTTTAGAATTTTCCACTTTCTTGTTTCAATTGGCTTCTGCCTATCAGCTCATATAAAAATACTTGAGTAAAAATTTTCCACCATTAAACAAACCAAAAACCAAAACAATTCTTTATCCCTGACCTCCTTTTTTTTTTTTTTTTTTTAGATGGAGTCTCGCTCTGTTACCCAGGATGGAGTGCAGTGTCACGATCTCGGCTCACTGAAGCCTCCACCTCCCAGGTTCAAGCAATTTTCTGCCTCAGTCGCCTGAGTAACTGGGATTACAGGCATGTGCCATCATGCCCGGCTAATTTTTGTATTTTTATTAGAGATGGAGTTTCATCATGTTGGCTAGGCTGGTCTTGAACTCCTTGCCTTAAGTGATCCTTGCCCGTCTTGGCCTCCCAAAGTGTTGGGATTACAGGAATGAGCCACTGCACCTGGCCTATCCCTGAGTCTTTATTGAAGTAGTGCTACATACGTCTCTCTTCTTGACACATTTCAGTAATCAGCCTGCCTTCTTCCCACAACCCATTCCCTTTATTATAGAAATGGTTGTCTCAAATGTTAATTTAATCAGGTCAAGTTGTCAATGTCTTATTCTTGGTCCTCATTCTACTTTACCCCTCTGCTTCTTGAAAGTCACTCTTCTTGTAATGCTACTACATGCCATCTTCTCTGAGTTTGCTTATGCCACTTGGCTTGGGTTCTCTTCCATTCTCTCTTTGGCTCCCTATTTGATCCCACTATTGCTTCTCTTTGAGATATATATATATTTTCCTGGATAATTCCAGTCTTAATCATTTATTCAGTAATCACCTAGATTCTACTTACTTCACACGTCTCTTTTCAGCATCAGATCCAAATGTCTAGCTTTCATTCTTCAATTACAATCTTTATATATCTGTCATTTCAAAATTAAAATATAGAAGTTTGAAAATACTAGTTTCTCTCTCCTAAATGTGAAGATCCCAGAACACAGATTGTCTTTTGTTCACCTATGTACTCCTGATACAACACAGTATTATCCAGTGCATGGTCAACATATATTAAACAAATTTAATATTCAAAAGATTACAGGATGTGAATTTATGATGTAAAGTATGCAATTTAAATTTTTGCCTAAGGCAGATGGACACTGGCAGGCAACAATAACTAAATAATGAACACTTGGGAAATTTACCATTATTTACTTAAAATAACTGAGGACAAAGGGAAAAGGCTTACATATAAAAGATATACTAAGAAGAAGAAAAAAAGTCTTCTATCTGGTGAACCACATTACATTAAATACCATTCTGAGAGATCTCAGGTTAAAAAAAAAAAAAGAGAGACAGACTTCCCTCTTGACCTATTAAATTGTTCAACTCAAGTCTGCCTCTATATTCTGTCTCCCGTTAGATCATTTTGATTTATCATCATAATTATTTTCTTTTTAATTATCTCTGGATATGTCCTGCCTGCTATAGAACTCATTTGAGCATACTCAAGGAAACATTTAGTGCTCAAGTATATAAAATTTGACTTTTGAGATAGCTTCATTAAAACAAACAAAGAAACAAAGAAAATGAAAACAGATACCTGTAAATAATCTCTGTCCTGAAATCTCCACAGTTCCTAAATAGCTGACTGAGTGTTTACTGTGCTGAGAAGACCCCAGTGAGGCTGCTTGTTGCAAAATAATGAAAAGGTAGTAGCCACTGACATCTGTTTTGATAAGATAAACCTCTCCTTCTCTTGAGTCTTATCAACAGAAACTCATCCCATTTGGAACACTGATGTGTCTTCTGCAGGACTTGCCTGGAAATATTTTATGAAACCTTTCTCTTCTCTAGCTTTCCTAAAACCTTAAAACCTCAGGACATATGACCTATTTAATAACTGAAGTCAACAGTATAAATGACATTTTCATATTCAAATATATAAAAAGTACCTTTAATTAATACGTTGTGTAATCCCTATATCTAGTTTTTATTACAGAAATTTTTACTTTTATTATTGTTTTGTAAATGTTTTATTATATTCTGTGTAGTTTCTGTTGAGAAGATCCTATTGGGAGAATAGGCATAGAAGTTCCTGGAAAAACAGGCATTGTCAAATGTTCTATCAGGCCTATGGTAGAAGAAACACTCTTACTTCAAAACAAATTACCAAGATCGAACTAAAAATTAAATGCACTAGGTGTACCCCCTCCTTGATTTTATTAGAAATATAAATTTCTAAAAACACATTATTCATTAATTTATTCATTCAACAAATATTTATTGAACACCCATCATGATCTTCTAAAATCACTGACATGAAGGTATTATTAATATTAAAAGGAGTGCTAGTAAACTTGTATTACAAAGAGTTGTTAGAACTGTTTCTCAATCACCATTGATTAATCATTTTATAGTTGTGAGCATCTGCATGCCATATGTATTATTATTTACTACTACTTTTTAAAAATCTAGTTTCTTTTACAAATATTTCTTTAAAAATTAAACTTTATACAGTTACTAAAAATAAATAGTATCATATGATCTGAACACATTGGAAGACAGTCAATACAAAATTAAAAATAATTTACAATTATAACATGTTGCTCATGTATGACATAAACTCATTTAATGTGACAACAGAGGTATAAATACCACACTTGGGAAATCTGATCTTGGAAAATATTTGTGATATGTAACACTTCCTAGAAATAGTGTGTTTTCCCAATACTATCAGAGTCTAAGTATCTTGACATCAGAAATAGAGTCTTACAAGTTTTCAGTTCACTTTTTCACAAACAGTGGATATGCAGTGAGTTGAATTATAGAATAAACATTGCACAAGACCCTTGAGTTCCACACACAGGTTTTCTTTGAAGAGTAAGTGTATCTTCCTATTAAGAGATAGTTTTATTTTAAAATAAAAGGCATCTAATATTTTATCTAAATAAAAAATCAGGTATTCTGAAGAAAGACCCTTTGCCTTGATTTGGTAACATGCATATTTCATGGATTCTACTTTGAACATTTAACCAAGAGATTCGATGTGATTACTTCAGTAACAATTCAATTTGAAATGTCAACTATGTTCAGCATTTAAAAATTAATAGCTAAATCCCTTTAAAGATCAGGGAAATTCCGTTCTGGCTTAGAATAATTTTATAGCTTTATGAATCTCCTCGTGCATTGTTTGCATCTTTTAAATGATTCTAAATAATGCACTTTCTTTAAAGGCCCATTAGTTCAAAGAATTTTGACAGTCACAGCTTAAGGTATTAATTTTCATAGCAGATATATATTTTCTATTGGCAGCAAATTTTTCAAAACCAAACATACTTCACCTAAATTATGAGTATATACATTTTAAATAGGTTAGAGTAGTAAACAACCATGAAAAAAATTGAGAATTTAATCAAGTCTTTTCTCCTTCCAATTTATTTGCTTTCTGAGAACAGTCAGTGAAGGAAGAATCCTGAAGCAGCAGTTATGATGAAGCAAATGTGGTCTGTGCAGCGCAGGAGCTTTCTCCAAAGGCGGCAATTGTGAGAAAAAGGGGAATGGACGCTCATATGTAATTAACACATATAAATAGGAAAAGTACTGACCAGTATCACTTGGTATCAGAAGTACTCCTGACTTAAAGGACATTAATGTAAATGCCATTACCTCTAAACAGCACTAATAAGAAAAGAAATGTTTTTCTGGGTTGTCAAGATCATCTCAGCAAAACCTAAAATGATTTGTTCAGTTATTCATTCACGAAATGAATATTATTGACATACTACTATGTGTCAGGCACTGAGCCAGACATTCAGAAAATCACAGAGAACAAAAATAGTCTCTGATCTCTTGAAGCTTGCAGTTTAGTGAGGAATACAGGCTTTATCAAACATTGTGCATTAATATGTTATTGTGAATTGAAGTAAATATTAGGAAGAAAGAGAAGTTGGCTCTTCAGAGCATTTTGCAAGAATATAATCTTGCTAGGATTTTGGGGTGAGGGTGAGCCTCTCTGAAAATTTGGCAGGAGCACATGTGTAATCATGGATCACTATATATCATTTAGCTCAAATAATAAAATTTGATATTCATATTGTCACACATGGTTCTAATAAATTGAGGATTCTATATGAACTGAGACTTAAAGAAAAATGGAGCTAACTCCATGACAAATTCAGTCCACAAGTTTTCTTCCTTAGCTTTAGCTCTACAGTCTGAGTGTATGCAAAAATTTAGCACGTAGATACCTATTTTTATAAGATGCTGGATTCTGAACCAAGATTCTCTCATACATCACAGAATGTGGACTATGAAATTTCCTAAGCCCTTGTCTCTTCTATGTGTCCACAACCATCTGAACTTGGCTTCTCTCCCACACCAATTGTAGTATCTCCAAGCATTTTTTAATCAATTGTGCCAGTTACCAATTTATTGCCTCTGAATTCCAAAATCATTCTTCATTGCTTGTTTTGTAAAAATTGAGCTTGGGCATTCAATTTTTTTTTTTTTTTTACTTATCAGCGGATATGATTTTAAGCTCAGTCAGAAATGTATGCTGGAGAGATACTAGAAGATGAAGGGTTTTCTTTTTTTAATTATTTAACTATTTTTTATCCTTCTCCTGTCCTTTCTTTTATATTTTTAAATTTTATTTTAAGTTCCAGAGTACATGTACAGAATGTGAAAGTTTGTTTCATGGGTAAAAGTGTGCCATGGTGATTTGCTGCACCTGTCAACCCACCACCTAGGTACTAAGCCCAGCATGCATTAACTATTTCTCCTGATGCTCTCCCTCCCCACTTCCCCACCATAGGCCTAAGTGTGTGTCTATTTTCTCATTGTTCAGCTCCCACTTATAAGTGAGAACATGCAATGTTTGGTTTTCTGCTCCTGCATTTGTTTGCTGGGGATAACGGATTCCAGCTCCATCCATGTTCCTGCAAAGGACATTATCTTGTTCCTTTTTATGGATGTATAGTATTCTATGGTGTATATGTACCACATTTTCTTTATCCAGCCTATCATTGATGGGGATTTGGGTTAATTGCGTGTCTTTGCTATTGTGAATAGTGCTGCAATGAACATACACATGCATGTATCTTTATAATAGAATGATTTATATTCCATTGAGTATATACTCAATAATGGGATTGCTGAGTCAAATGATATTTCTGCCTCTAGGTCTTTGAGGAATTGCCACACTGTCTTCCACAATGGTTGAACTAATTTACACTCCCACCAACAGTGTAAAGCATTCATTTTTCTCCACAACTTCGCCAGCATCTGTTGTTTTTTGACTTTTCAGTAATAGCCATTCTGACTGGTATGAGATGGTATTTCATTGTGGCTTGGATTTGCATTTCCCTAATGATCAGTGATGTTTGGCTTTTTTCATATAATTTTTGGCCACATGTATATCTTCTTTTGAGAAGTGTCTGTTCATGTCTGTATTAGTCTATTTTCACGCTGCTGATAAAGACATACCTGAAACTGCGTAATTTACAAAGAAAAAGAGGTTTAATGGACTCACAGTTCCATGTGGCTGGGGACACCTCACAATCATGGCAGAAGGTGAAAGGCACACCTTACATGGTGGCAGGCAAGATAGAACGAGAACCAAGCAAGAGGGGTTTCCCCTTATAAAACCATCAGATCTCGTGAGACTTATTCACCACCATGAGAACAGTATGGGGGAACCACCCACATGATTCAGTTATCTCCTATTGGGTCCCTCCCACAACACATGGGAATTATAGGAGCTACAATTCAAGATGAGATTTGGGTGGGGACACAGTCAAACCATATCAGTGTCCTTTGCCCACTTTTTAATGTGGCTATTGTTTTTTTTTTTTTTTTCTTGTAAATTTGTTTAAATGCCTTATAGATGCTGGGTGTTAGATCTTTGTCAGATGTTCAGATTGCAACATTTTTCCCATTCTATCTCGGGAACCCTATCTCAGCCTTAGGGGTGGTGGCTCTGCCTTCTGCTATTTAGTCATCCTTTATAGTTCTTTTTACTTCTCATTAGCCAATCTCGTCTCACTGAAATCCTGTTATAATAATTTTTATATAAACATTTCCTCTCCAATTTACTATGTGGTTTCTGTCTCCTTATTAGAGCCTGACTGATACATCCATCAGTGTGATACTTTCAATTCATAAACATGTTATACTACATCACAACTATAGGCTGCATAATGTGTCACTCTGTCTTCCTATAATCCCCATTCTCCATTATACACTTGTATGACTGTGTAATCCCTGTTCACTCTTCAAGACACAACGAAGCTACATAGTCACTGGGAATCTTTACCTCTTTTCTCTCATCTACTGCCCAAGGACTAAGGCTTAACTAGTGTCTCCTTTCTTCTCACATTCACACTATAAATATGTCTGTAATATAATTTTTGTTTTCTTTGTTTACAAATCTACCTCCCCAACTAAATTGGGAGTCTCTTGAAGGTAGATAGTATGCCTTTTTATGTCTGTATTTCCAGCACCCAGGACATACTATAGTATAATAGCACATACTATAGTACACATTTCAACAATTGTTAAATACATGAATGAATGAATGAATGAATGAATGAATGAATGAACTCTCTTCTTTCTTATTCTCTGCCTTATCTTGGCTTCTTACAGGGCACCATTGTTTAAGTGACTTTCAGATAGCCACTTTCAGAGATAGGATATCCAAAGCACAGTCTTATTTCTTTTTACCTTCTCATCCTTCTATATTTCCCCTGAGTTTATTTTCCCATCTTATCTTACCATAAACACATAGTGGTAGTGTTATTTACATTTTAAACCAAACATTGTTTTCTATGATTTCCAATTCTATAATTTTTGAAGAAATACAGGCAGGGCTGATCCTTGCAACTGCTTAAGCTGATCAACGTCTACTTGAGGTAAAAGAATAAGAGGAAAAAGGCTCTGGGCCCAAACTACAGAACTTGGCTGTTCGTATACTTGGATATGACCACTTTCTCTGGTAGTAACACCTTCACCTGGCTCTCCAGTTCAGTGTTGCCCCATTTCCCCATATGCACCTCTGTCTCAACTACATTCTGACTTTAGTTCTAAGTTTAAAGGAAAACTTTCCTAGTTCTCATTCCTGCCTAGTTCTTGTTAAACATATAATTCATGTTCACCTCCAGGTGTAACTCCACCTCTCATAAAATCTATATACCACAAACAATTCCTGTCACCTCATTTCTTGCTGTTTGGGTCCTATAAGAAAACCTTTAGCTGCTACTTCTTTACCTAATTGTGTAATGTCTGTTACCAAGATTCGGCAAGTCTTTATTCTACTGACATTTCTGAACTACCCAAGCCACCATTACCTGTTTCTCTATGCTAAGCTTTTTATCCTTGGGTTTATTAACTAGGTTCTTGGGCTGAGCATTAGCTGACTTTCTTTAATAATGTAGCATATTAATTAATGAATCATTTTAAAAGTGTAATTCTTTGTTTGTTAGAAGAAAATTTGGAAACAAAACAAGAAATTCATGGCACTTTTCTCAGCTGGTATTTGGGTCATCCAAATCAACCACAAAGTATTGTTTCTAAATTTCAGAGAAGTAGCACAGTTGTTAATCAAAAATAAGTTCTCATCGTAATATATATGTTCATTTGATGAAATGATGAAATTACTTTTTATTCTATATATGTATTCTGTAATACCTTAGTTTCCTTCAATTATAGCTCAGAGTATAATAAGGCATTTAATATTATTAATTCAAATGTTATTCTCTATACCATATTGATTATTTAACTTCAGTTTTCTTTTGTATGGTAAGAGCATACTATCTAACAGAGGATTAAATGATAAAAAGAAAGTATTGGATTTAATGTTTTAAACATAGGAAGTGCTCAATAAATATTAGCTTTTGTTTTGTTTTTTGTTTTTTGGTTGGTTGAGACAGAGTCTTGCTCTGTCACCCAGGCTTGAGTGCAGTGGCGCAATCTCGGCTCACTGCGACCTCTGCCTCCCGGGTTCAAGTGATTCTTCTGCTTTAGCTTCCCAAGTAGCTGGGACTACAGGCCAATGCCACCACACCCGGCTAATTTTTGTATTTTTAGTAGAGACGGGGTTTCACCATATTGGCCAGGCTGGTCTTGAACTCCTGAACTCATGATCTGCCTACCGTGGCCTCTAATCCCTAAGTGCTGGGATTACAGGTATGAGCCACTGCACCCGACCATTAGCTCTTATTTTACTATGGATATGCTCAACACATTTGTACTTGAGATACACATTTGAATAATTATGAATATGTATTTATTATAAATTATTTTGAAAGTTACACTTATTATTATATTTATTATGTATATCTAGGATGAATCTGGTGCTAAATTCTTGATCAGTAATAAAATAAATCAGAATAAAAATAAAATTCACACCAAAAATTGTGTGGGTGAAAATATGAGCTGATTTATGATGATCTAATTTGCTTTTTAGCTCTCAGGAATGCATAGGTGAAAAGTGAATCTTTCCTGTGTCCCCACATTACAATACCTTTGATGATAATATATCTGAAAT